GAGAGAGATAAATTGTCTTGAGATGGACCTAGTGATATTTTGTTCGACTAGCATTGGCTCTTTGTGAAGCTGTAAGAGTTTTATTTTGAATTTGTCCACAGCCGGAGATGTTGCGGAGGGTGGATGGGTCTTTGCTTTAAGTAACGGATGGATGATCATTTTATATTTTGGATGGATTTTGGAAACGGCCATTAGAAGAATTATTTGGGAACCCCTCCGGTGTGGATATGCAATTCACATCGGCCCATCATCGGGTGTTTGGGGGTCATTTCTCTTTATGGATTGACGCTTGTCCAAGCTCTAATCGGGTGTCGATCGAGGATCGGGTTCCTCGTAGGCTTTGTGCCTTTTGTTCATGAATTTTCTCGTTGAAAGCCTTTGAAGGCCGAATATGAATGTATAGAGATAATATTCCGGTCGACTTCGTGACCCCATATTTTATCGCGATGATTCGAACCGCTGTCTATCCTATTTTACATGCTCAGGATGGATCAAGTGTTCGGTAGGCTTTATGCGCTTTGATGTCAGTGAACCAGTATTGTGTTAGGCGCTTGAAGGCCTAATATGAATGTTTTAAAGCAAATAATACTGGTCACCACACTTTATATTTGCCTTTAATGGTATGCGGGACCCTGTTCGAGCTTCTGATTGCCGCGTATAGGAAGGATCGGTTTCGAACGCTGATTCACTTTTCAACCCGCGCAGCAAGATCCCGTAGAACGTCACGTGTGTACCATAACACGCCGGCCGGGCCGCATGCAGAGGTTTTTATATGTTATTTTTCCCCTTTTAAGTGTACCTATGTGTAAGGTACAATTTTATAGTGCACGTGCAGGGGTATTTGTGGAAATAGTTGTGAACCGCCTTCTGTCTGCTTGTACGAGATGTTGGCAGATCCGGTGGCGTGCGTAGCAGCTTCTGATGGAGTTATTCGCGTGGCTTCGTACAGGTAGACTTGATCATGCACTATTTGTTGAATTTTTTGTAGACGATGCTAGGTGCACTAACTAATCTCCCTGCCTTGTTTGAAGATGTTTGGTATGTCGTTGTAGTACTTCAATATTTGCACACAGGTATTAGTGTTGGAATGCATGACGTTACTGATCATCAAGAATTTGCAAGTTTCTATGGCTCTTATCCAACTCATGTTCATATTAGTTGAATTGGAGATTCCATGCTCAATCTTGATTTGCTCTTGATTTTCGTCTTTGCCGAAAACTCGTATAAAGAAGGCCATTAGTGCTTTTATTCAATTATGTCATCTTTCTTCGTTTTCTGTGCGTTGGTCTTAAATGAGAATCAATCATTTCAACCTAAATTATTGTCTTATTAATTGTCTTATATGTTCAAAGCTAGTGCCGCTGCATCAGACCAAGAACTATGGTAGTCAAAGGACATGATCGAAGCCCCTCTATCATATTCTTGTGTGCTGACCTTCACAACTGCAAGGCAATGCCACAATAGTTTATTAGGCAATCGGTATTTTATCGGGACTACATCAAAGCTTGATAACACATCTATGCTTGGTTGATTGCTGGTAATTGTGCAAAGAGTTTTTGTTCATTTGCCGGAGGGATTATGTATATTTGCCCGACGCCGTTGGTTGCAAGTGATTTGTTTGTTAGGTTAGAAGAATGTTGTGATTTGCTGCTCTTATGGTTCATAGGAGGATAGGCCCTGCTTTGCAGTATCTCTGGTTATTGTGCAATGGTAAGAGGCACTACTGACTACCAGTTCATAGATGCTGGCTAGTGAACCAATGTGTAGTTGTAGAAATCACGCTTGCAAGTCACTTATAAGAGCACGTCATTGGTCAAGAGTAACTCATGAGTTTGGTTCATGTAATGAAATTGTGCCTTGATCAGTCCCTAATGAGTCTTCATTGAAATATCTTTATATTTATTTCTCAGGATTATTTAATTTGAATGTGACAAATGCCCTTGGTGTCCTAATTGAAGAGGAATTTGTGTCATACATGATGAATCCTGACTTCTGCAAGTTGGAATGAGAGTTCTCTAATGTTGATTGAAGACTTTCTGTTATTAAAGCCGAATGAAAATCCGGGTCTTGTTTGCAAAATTTGTGATGTCCATAAGCCTTTGAGTTCAATGTCAAAGTTCACTTGCGAGTACAATTCCATATCAAAACGGTTCAAGTTATGACATATTCCTTAAAATTCCATTTGAAGTTTTGACATCAATTTCAGGTCAAAAGTTTCTTCTTACTTGGTTCAAACCAAGTTCACTATAGTTGTCCAGAGATTTTGTGGCAAGCTTTGAGTTCAGAGTGTTGTTCTCTTGAGTTCCATGTAATGAGTTCAAATTGAAGTTCCTGTTCATAGTTTCTTTTGCTCTTAGTCGAGTACAGAGTGTAAGTCCGTTGTTTCAAATGGTTCAAGTCAAATCTTTTTTGTAGCCCCATGCTTGAGTTCAAGCTTCAAATTCAAGTCTTATGAGCATTCACATTTTTTGATTCAAAGTATATTTAGGTTCTTTTTGATTTGAGTTCTGAGCAAAGTCCCAAGTCTTGATTGTCCAATGTCTCCAAATATTTTTGCTTCTTCGAAGTTCAAGGTCCCGAGTGTAGGCAAATTTCACGCCGAATTTCGGCAGGCCTTCCGCGGTCTGGCGCCCCGTTTAGGGGGAAAACTAGCGGAAAACTGGCCATCCCACCAGCGCTAAGAAAAGCGTGTATGGTAGATGTCTTCTTTCGAGGACAGCCGGCGGCCGTGTGAATTTGTGCGATCCCCGCACCACGCTAAGAAAAGCCGGTGTATGGGTGTTTTAAAAATATTTTTTGGGCAAGAAAGCTTTTCTCTTTTTTTTTTTGTGATAATTATTTTGCAAAGAAAAGAATGAGGTTATTTCCCCGAAGCGGTACTTAATGGGTATCCCCGCTGTTCATCGTGCGCATGCGCACCGGGATCCCTTCTCGGCACCACGCTAGAAAGCGTGTATAGGCGGGGTTTGTTCGCAAGTCGATTACGAAACTTCGAAGAAGGAATTTGGGTGAATTACCCGCTTCGTCGGATATATATATATTTATATATATTTAAAAGCTTATTACATGTTATACTGTTGAAAAATGCAGAAGTGCGAGTTACGTGGCCCATCCAAATAGCACAATGGATGCATTGATGTCACACCTATAACAGCAAGAGAGAAGCAAACCACTGGTTTATTGCCTAAGCAACGACAGGGGTCGTAGGACCTCAACCTCTTGTTGTGATCCCTATCATTGGTAGTCATTGCTTTTATCACGGATAAAAGGGATGAACATGGCAAACTCTTTGCAAATGGTAGTGGTGCTGGCAAGAAAACTCTTGCAAGAGATCAGTCATCCCCATCTAGGAAGCTATTGCTATGATCTAGAAAGAGGTGGTGGTAAGCTTAATTTCTTGATGCTAGAAAGAAATATGAAGATTTGGAACTCTCATAATGGATTGTACTTGCTTGGCTACTCGGACAGGCTGATGGCTTTTTTTTAAATGATAAATGCATGAAAATATCAAATGTAGTTTTATTTTTAGAAAAAAAATAAAAATTAAGACCAAAACATACTAAAAAATTTAAAGTAAAAAAGCCAAAAATAAAAGACATCTCAAACATCCCGCAAGTTACCATCTCTGAGTCGGTTCCCCACATCCTGTTCTGCATTTGTCGGGAAAGAATTTTCCCTTGTAGTTGCAACTGGAACTACATTTATCATTAATAGAACTTTTCCTTGGCCAGAATCTTCCAATTGCTTTCCCATTCAACCAAGCCTGGCCTTTCCCCATATATTTCATATCAAGCCCTACAGGCTCAGTTCCTTTCGGGGCATCCACAACGACCTAAAAAGTTCATCCATTGTGGATTTTAATAGAATATAAATCAGGCACAAATAATTAACTTAATATGGCGTCAAAACAACATAGCATTGGGAGTACACTAATTTCTATAATGTGGAAATTCTATTCTAAATAAAGCAAGTTTTAATTCCTTTCATATGGCCTTTTAAATAGCCCCTTTTGATTTCCATAAAATCCAAGATATACGAGTGATATTCAAAGAATGGACTGTACTATACCATGTACCACGTCAAAGCTTGATCCTTTGGTGGTAACGATGGGGTAATCCACTTAACGTTATCAATGCCATTACTGTAAATTCTAAGATGCTCTCCTTCCAAGCCAATCTACAATAAATGTAAAACAGCATTATTTAGGTCGGCTCAAACAGTGAATTTAACAAATAATTATAGTTTCAGAAATATCCAAAAAAATATTTTATAATCTTCATTCCACTGATAAGATAAATTTACTACTATGCAAATGTAATATACTTCATACAAGCTTAAAAAAATAACAACAGGTTTTCATAAAGGGAGAGTTACTAGAGAAAGAAGCATGAAAACTCCTAAAAAGGGTACAAAAAATTTATTTGAGAAGCAGATCTTAAAAACAACTCATGCCTTGAATGCAACAAGCCTAGACATTACTACATTGACAAGCCTTTGGTTTAGCCAGCTTTTTTAATATGCATTCATTTGTAGAAATCATCATAATTGTCCAACATATGTTTGCAACTATTTACTACAGCATACCTGATACCCACACCGAAATCCCACATAGAGTATCATGCCTGCCACACTAGAAGCACCACGTGCGACAATACAATTCACTAGCATCGGTATTTAATGCACATCAGTTGCAGGCTGCATCTTGCACTTCCATCACACAAGAACCCACTTTGCCAATCTGGGTTTTATACCCTAAATTTTCCAATTTGGTAAGCATAAATTTTTCCCCAAAAACATTTATAAAAAAATAAAACTTTTATTCCATTATGTTCTACTCGTCAAACTGAGCAAATTTATATAAAGAAATATATGTCAACTTACAAAGACATGAAAGTTACTGAATTATCTATGATATGCTTTTTTTTGTTTTTGTTTTACTTTATTGTTAATTTATTAAAATCAGGGTAGTTGTTAGTCGAAAATAGGAAAATCCACTAAAATCCACATGCATTGGCTTGCATTAGAATCTAATGGTTGCATTAATTTTCCTAACTATTAGATATTATAACTTATATATTACCTAAGTTTGAAATCCATTTTCTATTTCCTTTTCTCTGCTTCTCCCGTAACCAGTCTTTAGAGCCGAAGCTGGAGCGGGCATGTGAGAAGGAAGAGGGCTGTAGCGGTTGAAATCCGAAGAATAGAAAAGGAAAGAATAAGAGGAAGGAGGCTAGGGATTTGGTAAGAAAATTGGTTTGAATGAAGAGAAATTAAGTAGAGGTAAAATTCTTTTGTTTTTTTATGATTTATCATAATTGATTTCTATGTTAGAAATAATTTATAAATTTCAAAAATTATCATTATTTAGGTTGCCAACAAAAGTAAAAGAGGTCGCGATAACTAAGGGAACAAATCCATCCAATTAACCGAAAATACGATATTAGATACCCAATCTTTTGTATAGGACGTAACAGTTTTTTTTTAATCTAACTTTTATAGCATTTCTTCATATTAATCATAATATGAAAATATCGGCAACAAAAGCAATTTCAATTTTATGATCACTTGTTCATTAAGATTTTATTTTATAATATATAATATTTTTGTGTACTGTTAAATGATGCCATTGACATCTATTATGCTAGTTTGGAAGTTATTGAGGAAAGTCATATTATGGGGGATAAGCCTGCGCAAAAAAAGAAAAACCTGAAGAGGTAATCTTTAGTAGGGACCCCGCATAGGAGGTGCCCCACTCTCTCTTCTTAAAAAGATGGATTTTTAGATCCAAACTTAAAGGGAGGGGCCATGCCATGAACGTGCTAAATTCTATAGTCATCATATGACTTTTTTAAAATAAGAAATAGAGAAAACCTTAAATATTGTATACAAACAATTTTACGCATAGATCATTATAATTTATTTATTTATTTTATACATGCATGCTGTTAGGACTGTTATATTAGTTCAAAATATCACCATACATGTTAACTATTTCTTATTTTTCTATTAGCATTTTGTATTTCGTTGAGCATTAATCTCACTAGTTGATGTATTGCAAGAAAAGGGAAATGAACTGTGTTAGATGCTCGGTATACATAATCGTTTTGGGTGTTCAGTTTTGGGTGTGGATAGAAGACAAATCAGTGAACTGTAAATTAAAGGGTTTTGGGTTGTTAACCAATACACGGAAAATAAAAAAAAAAGGGAGACACCTTAAATCTTGCATACATACCTCAAAACCATCGGGTCCACGAATCCTGCCGAGGTTACGCTGATTCGGCGCCATTCGCGATCGCTTCCCAGGAATTTCGCGATCCTACAGCGCCTCGATCCCGCTCCCGTGAGCGTCGTTAAATACCGAAGCAAATGAGACCTTCGGCTGCTGCTCTCTCCGACTCTACACGCTCTCGTTCTTCCACACTCTTCTTCCAACGGTGAACTGCTCAAGACCTCCCGCACTCTCTCGACACTTATCCGAGCTTCCCTCTCCAACTCCACACAAACTCCATAGCAAACCGAAGCCAAAGCCACCACCTCACTGTCTTCCGACCTCCTCGACCCGAACTCTCCCGCTCGAAGCCAGATCCCATCGGATCCATCCCGATTCCCTTGCTTCTTCCGGTCCAGAGAGAGAGAGAGAGAGAGAGAGAGAGAGAGAG